GAGCTTTCTATAAGGAATTGATATACCTCCACCACTACTTTTGGACTAACCTAAGTAGTAATATGAAATTTCTATTATCCGTGTATTTTGTTTTGAATATCGCACATATTTACATACGTATACAATGCTTAAACATTATAGTCAATTGTTCTTTTTCATTCGTACATATATGATAAGAAAAATGAAATGATTAAACTATGAAACTTGTGTAAAATTTAAGAACCAAACGTTAATTTTTTGAAAAATTGTTATTGAACTAAAAAGAAAAGGATATACAATAAAACTTCTCTTAAATGAACATCTTCAGGATTTCTGAAAAGTGTTCATTTATGGGAGATGTCATACATTTTTTATTCAAATATTTATGAATCCAAAAACTTCTCAACAGAATACAAAACTTTGCTTAGTTTCATAAAATCTTGTATTATTGTTTTGATCTTAATATATGTGAATTTGATAAACTTTGCTATACAATTTATCAAGTTTTATGAAGTGAAAAGTTTTGCATTTTCGTTTCATACTTTGATTTTAACTTGCTTGCCAATCATTTTAAATATTCCTTTTTTTTTTTGTTTTAAAATATTGAATACAGAACCAATTGAAATATTCGATTTCTCAACTAATTTACATTGTAACAAACCATTATCGTTGTTAATTAATTGAATTTTTTCATTTAATGTAATTCCCTGACATGTACATTTTTATAGCAAACAATGAACAGTGGTTTTCGTGTATAGGAAGAAAAAAATGTGCACGTGTGGTCATTTCAAAGAAGTGAAAAATAGCAATCGAAACTGTTCAGAATAGAAAGATGTTCCTCTATGAGAGATGCAGTTTAGCAAAAATCGTTTCGTAGAACCGAGACTTTGTTCAATATGTGAGATGTTCATTATAATCAGTTTTACTAAAGTGTTATTATTCAAATTATACGTATTTGGTTAATTCTTATTCTATGAGAGCAAACATTATCATTAAAAAAAAAACATAATTTACCTAAATTGTTTGCGTTGTAAAAATTATTAAATAAAAATTTGATATACAATAGAATATATATTAAGTTTATTCTTACAAGATTTATATACTTTCAATTTCTTCAAACAAAATATCTATAAACATCTCTGTGATATATACTGATATTGAACGCCCTCTTTTTATTGCAGAGGCTAAATGTAATTTTAAAAGAATGGTGAAGTTTTTCTAAGTAAATTATTTCAATCCTATACAATTTATTTAAATCATTATTTTAAATTCCATCATATTCATTATTCAGCTACTTGTTATACATCATTAACATTATCAATGACAATGTTAACAATAAATGATTATCTTGATGGTTTACATTGTCTACATGAAGCACAAAAAGTAAATGCAACAACAGAAGAAATTATATTTAAATTACGTCTTTATCTAGAAGATAAAGTTGGTGATCAACATATTTTAAATACAATTTTAACACTTATAAAAACAGAAAACATTATTGATTTTTCTAATTATAAAAAATTTGAATATTGTACTAGTTTATTACCACTTTTTATGATATTTATTTGTTTGGAAAATTCATTTATTGAACAAAAATAGGTTTATTTATTTAATACCTTAATTCATATATATATATATTATATTGTATCCGTCAAAAAAATTGTATTTTAAATCTGATAGATTATACCGATGGAATTATTTTTCTTTTTTGTTAGATAGAATAATTAAAGTGAATTTTCAAATTCATTATCTTTTTTCTTTCTTACTTAACTAAATATGAACCTACATATTTAGATATGACTACTTCATCGAATTTCATTCCAATTTCAATTAAATATGGTAATACAACTTATCATATGCATCTTGATAATCAATTAAATCTTTCAAAATTAGAACAATTTAATATGATAGCTAATCATATTCATATACCATCAGATCGTTTAAAACTTATTTATAAAGGCAAAAGATATACAAAAGAAAATTGGCAAGATTTATTACTTATACCAAATATGATTTTTTTAAGTATTGGAGAACAAAATGAAGATGAAACAGATATAAGTACAAAAGATATTGAATGTATTATACAACAAATGAAAGTTGATCGAAATACAGCTATTAAAACTTTAAAACTTTATCCAAATGTTATTGATGCGATTTTATATTTAGGAAATAAATAAATATATAATTTTTTTTTTTTGTTTTTGAAAACTTTTAGATGACTTCAATTGATATAAGAGAAAATTTATCTTTGTTTGATGATGCATTTTCTATTCATCGACAAATACCAGAATTTCAAATAGATTCAACAACATATGATCAATTAATTGAAAGAATTAATAATGTAAAACATCCATTGATTCTTGTTGCATATATTAATAATCAACCAGTTGGTTATTTAATGGGTTATGAACGTTATTCATCATTTTATATATGGATTGCAGGCGTTCTTCCTAATCATCGTCGACATGGAATATTTGATCAATTAATCAATCGAACAGAACAATGGGCTATTAAAGAAAAATATAATTCATTGACAATTAAAACACGTAATTCTTTCAAATCAATGCTTCTCTTTCTCATTTCACATGATTTTAAATTAATTGACATCGATAAACGACAATCTGTTAACACTCATCGTCTTATTCTAGAAAAACAATTAATCAATTCACAGAATTTATCTTCTAATTGATATATATATATATATATCAAATATGAATAATAAAAGCTTGCCAATACAGTTTCTTTGTAACTCACATATACTCTTTAGTCTTATCAAACTAATACAAAATAGAAGTCTCAATGGGTTGTACTGGGCTGAAGAAAGCTGACCCAGTCCATTGAAATCTCTTATACAATATACTTCGATAGGCTCAGCAACACTAATATTAAAAGTGATAACTTGATCAGTTCATGCTTTTTATATTAAACATATGACGACCATCGGAAACCAATAGTATCATTATCCATCATCTTTGACATCTTGAATATAAATTTTAACTGTGTAAAAGTCAAAAACTGCATTGTTTAGAACATTCTCAAACGTATTTCAGCCGTTCAGATTTCGAGGAAGACTTTGAAATATTTTAGAACAGTCTAATTCTTATTGCTATGGAATTCTGGGAAAAGAGTCGGACGCCTGTTGTCTACGATTATTATGAAATTGTATCCAATGTTTGTTCACCTTTTCCTTGCGTTGCTATGAGGGTGAAAGTAGCAGCGAAACCTCAGCTTTAAACTTGCGCTCAATATATTCTTCTTCGAAAAACAATGTAAGTCGCACTAAAAAAAAGCATTATTCCACCTAGATGAATTCGGTTTTTTCTTTGAAAAACCTGTATGATTATCCATGTTTTCACAGTAGTGAATTTAGAGTGGGTACTAAGAACGATCGTCCAAGTCTTCCGAAGTAATTTTCGATTTTTCCCAGCAGAAAACACCAATAAATGAGCTGAAACAATCTCTAACAAAGTTCACAATATGTTTTGCGATTATGATCTTCTCCCTTTCCATTGAAGCATCCCGTCATATATAAATCCTAGGAATCGTTTTTTTTCATATGTAGACCACAAGATATGTCCATAGCACATGGCTTTCTTGCCCAAGATACTCAAGTACTTCATGTATATGAAAAATAAAAGTGTAAATAAATAAGATAAAAGAAATTCTGTATGATTTATTTCGAAATATTATTCAATATTAAAAGAGCTCGAATGAAATTATTATAGAATATGTATAGTTTAGTTATATAATGTCCATCACATTGTTTTAATGACGACCTGAACCGCCAATACGACCATCACCATTTAAATCCATATTAGCAGCATTTTCTAATTGATTCATTAAGCCACCACCACCACTACCACCAGAATAAGGATTCTGTCCATATCCACTATTACCAGGATAAGGATTCTGTCCATATCCACTATCACCAGGATAAGGATTCTGTCCATATCCACTATTACCAGAATAAGGATTCTGTCCATATCCACTACCACCATATTGTGGACCATGACCCGTACCGCCACCAACACGACCATCTCCGTTGAGATCCATATGAGCAGCTTTTTCCACTTGATTCATTATACCTCCACCGATGCCTCCATGACCTTGAGAATTGCCACCACCTTTTTATAAAAAAAAATGAAATAAAATTTATTTGTTTTTCAGAAAATTCATACCTGAACCGACAGCACCATCACCATTTAAATCAACACCTAATTTGTTTTCCACTTGTTTGGTTATAAAATCTATTACAAGAAATTTCGATATGAATTATTTGAAATTTTATTTTGAATATAAAAGATTTCTTCATTTTACAAACATAACTCTTTGAATAACTTTTTACTTAATGTATTGTTTTTTTTTAGTTTTAGAAGGAGTTCGAACCCTTTTTAAGCGGAACCCAATCGTTTACCACGGGGGTAGAGGGGAGTGCTAACCCTATCTGATTGTATTCAATACCGATGCTTAAAATCGATTCTTTTATTAGTTTGTATGAATTATCAAATAAAAGTATATTCAATAGAATAAAATGCAAACTTACTCATTTTATTTTAATCGGAAGAATAATATAGAAGAATTTTATTGCACGAGATATTTATATGCTTCTCGTTCCTAGCTATGGCAAACGTCGACGATTTCTCTCGAGTCTAATTGGTAATTTTTTTCCTTCCTTTTCTTTAATTTTATTTTTTTTTTCTAAATCAGTATATGATAAAATACGCTGTTGACATTGTCATTGACTTAAAAAAAAAAGAAACTCCACTCTTTCTTTATGACAACGCTTGATAATAACGTTTCTTTTTTGCGTTCGTTTCTTTGATGTATTGATTAGTATATTTGATACTAAGTAAAGTTCATAAAAATATAATTTACGTTTGTGAAATAATGTTGATGAAAGTATCCTCTTGAATGTTTGAAAAAAGTAAAAAGAAGATTTATAATATGTGATTTGCTTGATCAACAGATATGAAAATATGATTTAAGACAAAAAAAAAACACTTATTTTCAGTATTTTAAATTTATTTCTTTCAATAAAAATAATGGAGAAGAAAAGAGAAAAACAGCTATTAAGTTATATTTTTGATATTTTCTAATAAAATACTTGAAACAACTTATTCAATGGTCTATCGCAAAAAATACCGCTGTGACATATAATGTTGTAGTAAGCAAACGAATAGATTAATTATTGTCATAGTGAATTTGTTTAAATTATTTCTGTGAGATTTCAATTTGATGTATTTATTGATAAAGTATATGTCTCCTTTAGATGACTTATAAGAAATCGTAATATTATTTTGGTTTAGTTGATATAAGTTAAGTTAATAACTTAACATGACATAACTTACTGTGTGAAATAAGATCTTCAGCAATTCGAGAAGACATTTACATATGAAATAGATCATCAATACTCACGAAGGTACCTCCTAAGACGTCTCTCCTGCGGATTTCAATGATTTTTTTTTGTCTATAGACACTACATAATGCTTTAATAAAAACCTTAAAAGGATTTGGATTCATATTGAGATTTGACTAAGCTATGGAATTTTTTCCAGGTTTTCAGAAACTCGTTTTATTTTTAGAATTTTGCACATATAGAGAACTCAACTAGATTAATTTCCATTAAAAAATTCATAAGTTTTGAACAAAGAGTCTACATCTTGAAGAGACTTTGTTCAAAACTTGTGAATTTTTTTCTATGAAAATTGGTGTAGTTGAATTGTTTGTATGCACAAATTTTCAGATCCCAATTCAACAATACGAATTTCTGAAAACCTATGGTCTCTAGGAAAAAATTCGATAGCTTAGTCAAATCTCAATAGGTACCGAAATCTGTTTAGAGTTTTTATTAGAACACAATACAATATCTATAGGCAAAAAAAATCATTGAAATCGAAATTACGTTTACCATAAAAAGAGATCATGCTTATAACGGGTTTCTGAGGAGATTGAATGATTTTTGTGAATTTTTGCTGTAGGATCTCACATTTGGAGCAAGAGCGTGTTTTTGAATTTCGACCTGAGATTTTACCCACATAAAGATATCAAGTAGAATAGCTAGCATAACAAAATTTCAGAATTTTTAGACTCACATCCAAGACCCAAATCTTACTCGTAATTTCAATGAAACTTTTTAGTCAAAATCTGATAGTTGCTTCGGATTCCGCTACTAATGCATCATACATATTTCTTAGATAATCTCAGTGATGATCTTATAATAATCAAGTCATAATTGGCTGTCACTGTTAGAGTATAATCCGTCAGGTCGATCTTGATTCCGAATCTGAGATCAACCTGACAGGTTCTACCATAGATAGTACATACAGCATATTATTATTCTATAAGCTACCAAAACAATCCGAATATTTTTTTTTCTTTAATGTTTAATGAGGTTAACAAAACGATAGAAAGTTCGTTTGAATGATTCAAGTCTAAAAGTATTGTGATTGTGAATGTTGACTCATTGAATAATCGAGACTATTATTCTTTAATGGTAACGGTGGTGGTTTTATTGTATAATGTTTCTGTTGTTGATATTGTGAATAATCACTACTACTTGAACTTGTATAACTTCGAAATGTTTTAATAGATATTTCTGTTGTTTTATAATTAGCAGCTTGTAATTGTCCTTCAAGTTTAAGTAAATGAGTATGATTTGATTTACCATTGAGTAAAGATGAAATTTGATTAATAAAGATAAATAATTTATCAATCGATCGTTGAGATAAACGATGTTGAAACATACTACGATTATGAATAATTTCATG